GTCCATCCCATGGTGTTTTGTCATCCATCCTGCAAACAAGCAGAGATGTGGGGCTCTAGTGCTCGGCAGTGTACCACTCACGGGGGCTCTGCAGGTGGGAGAGACAGTGTCTCATTTTCCTGAAAGACTGACACTTCAGTCCAAAAAGTCCAGAGCTGCAGCTGTTAGAGGCAAAGCTGCTGTTAAATGGGAAATGACTCAGATCCACCATGCCAAGTAGAGTTTCACTGAGCAAAGAAGAAACCCATTTGTGAATTAGGCAGCTACCAGAACTACACGGTTCTGAGAACTCTTAACCAACAAGGCAATCACTTATGAGAAAGTGGACATGAGGCCCGAAAAAATGACTGCTGTAATGACAGCTTACTCAGCCAACCAGTGACTTGTCTACACTGCCTCCTGCAACCAACCGGAGCTCAATAACTCTGACAAAACTAGATTGCATTGGTCCCAGGGTAGGTGCCCTGTCCAAACCACTTGTAGCCTTCTTTGAATTTTATTTAATAGTGAGGAAACTCTTGTGTGGACAAGAGGCTTGGGGTGGAGGGAGGAGGACCCAGAGGGACCCATAAACACATGCAATTTTTTACTGCTTAGGATGAGTCAATGCGCAATTCCTGGGAATTGTTTAATGTAAATTTCCTTATTTACCAGTTTTATGCACTTTTTTCAGAAAATTACAGGCTATTTTCATTTTTCTTGTTTTTTTTCCTTGTCATACTGGGGTTTGAACTCAGAGCCATACTCCTTGTAGGCAGGGACACTACCATTTGAACCACACCTCCAGCCTTCTATTAAGATTTTCAATCCTTGTCTGTTATGTATGATGAAGACATTATTCAAGATTATTACTTGCCCATACTATTGTTTGTAATGGTCTTTGAAAAACCTACCTGCATTTTTTTCACCTTGTCAAATTCGTAGATCTTTCTCCTTATGTTCAGTGTTTCACTGTCACGCTTAGAAAGGCTTTCTCTAATTCAAGAGAAGATAAATATTCATTCCTATTTTCTTTGACTTCTTCTCAAGCAATGTCACTTAATGACTTTGTGATCAAGTGAGAAAAAGTAGCAGAAAATCTGGCCCACTTATCTGATGACTTGATTGATTGCCCAGCTCAATATCTATTTTGCTGCTATTTTAAAAATGTCCTCCTGGATTGAGGACAGGCCACAGTCTCATTTTTGTGGGTCTCCTGGGAGCAACCCATCATTTTGGCTCGGGGACTTTCAGTCCCCACATCCCCCAAGGCTTTGGTTTCCCATCTCAAAGGCAAAATGACTTCTTTGCTGCTGTTGATGGGAGCTGGGGCTCACAGCCTGTATGTTCTTGGACAGCACTGCCTTTCTCCCCACGCGACTTCAAAGAATAGACTTAGAAAAATCAAACACCCAGAGCTTCTACCACACATGGAAAAACTGGCTCAAAGACTCCCACTTTTCCTTTCCTTAAAAAAAAGCGAATGGCTTTTTGCAAGCTTTGGGTCCTTGCAGGAGCACCCCACCCCAGGGACCACTCTCTGGCTGACTGTGGCCCTCAGGTATTTCTCCCAGCTGGGGCTTGCTGAGTGTCAGGGAGCCTCTAGATTCTCCCATCACTCACCCAGGAACAAAAAAGATAAACACAGTGTGTGAAAGTCACACACTAGTAGCATAGAGCTTCTATCTTCTTTCTAAGGAAACCTTCCCTGATGGGGAATGAAGCGGCTACAGCATGAATTACCTGAGCAAGAGTCAGGCCTTCAAGCACAGAGGGTCCCTTATGATGAAAGAGTCTTAGGAATTCACTCTCTGCCAATGTTTCTCGCTACCTAATTTTGAGAAAAAGCTTTTTTTTAAGTCTTCTTTGCATAATTTTTTTTCTCTCCTTATTGAAAACAAGGTGTTTCAAGAGAGTCCCTCAAGAGAAGACTTTCTCCTTACAAGGTTGTAAGAAGTGTCTAATGATGTGGAAGGAACAGAGACCAGGGTGACTGGCTCGAATTCAAGTCAGTAATGTTACTGTGGCAGTTACCAGTCACTCCTCCCCCCTCCCCATCCACACCCAGAGCTACCCAGTGTCAGGAGGAAGAGACGGATGGCCGACTTGTCTACTCCCCAGCTGGAAACCATGGGGAATCTCAACGTTTCTTCCTAAGACCCAAGATCCTCCTTTGTTTTCCCTTCCTGAATCCTAGAATCATAGGAAAAACTCTGCCCTATCAACTCTTGGTCCCTTTCGATATCTTCCTCTTTTCAGTCTTTTTCACTGTTTTCTTAAAACAGTCTTTAACAAAAGAGTGAGAAGTTGCTGGAGACTAGGGAAGGAACAACATTAAAACCTTATTATACTACTTGGAAGGCCGAGGTAGGAGGATCCCTTCCACACTGACTGACCAAGCCTCCCACTGGAGCTTCTCAGGAGAAAGAGACACTTCAAAGAAGGCTGAGGAAGAGGATGGTGCTGTCACCCATCTGTGGGAGGCATGATACAGTGGGCAAAGGAGGAGGATAAAAGACAGGAAATGTTCTGCCTGTCAAACGCTTCTGCATAGAGTTCGATCTCCATCTCCACGGAGGGTCCACCTAAAGATATGTGTATAGAGATGGTACACTGCTACAGGCAGGATTTGCTCCTTGTTAGAAACAGGAATTAAAATGTACAGAGGTCAAAATGCCACCAAGGCCCCTCATGATGTTTCCAGTGGCCTTTCTACCCTGTTGGAGTCAATTCCCTAATGTTCAGGTGCAACCCACCTACCAGTTTCATTATTATTTGTTCCTCTGGAACCAGAGAGAGAGCAGAAGGTCTAACTTAAGGGAGATTTACATCGACTTGCTTACAATGTTGATCTGGCAGGATACAGTGGGATACAGGGCCATATTTTTCCCATCATTTTTTTAAGCAAACAACCTATTCTGCTGCCAAAGGGGAAAAAGCTGTGGAAGATCAAATCAAATGATAATCCTGGATCTTAAAAATCAGAGTTGAATAGGTTCCAGAGAGCTCAGTGCTCTCCTGGAACAAGTTTCAAGAACAGCAGGCTTCCTAAGCTGCTCACCACGTGTGATGCTGACAAACTTGTGAGGTGGGTTTCCCGCCTGCTGGGAATGTGTGCATTTATTCATCTGAAAATACCTTGAGCGTCAGATATTAAAAAGTAGAAACATGACTTGTCATGCTGTAGGAGTGGGATTTGTGAACCAAATTTAGCTTGAATACCAGGGAGCAAACACTAGGAGAGTATTAAGGGCTGGAAGCCTAAGAATTTTAAGTTTTCTTTTTAAATATTATTCCCCAAAGCCAAGAAAACAAAATGAAAACTTGCCAAATCATTCCAATGTGTCTCTCTGCCAGTGAGTTCAAAATTTTCCAAGGGACTTTCTACCTGTAACTGCAAAGCACCCCCAGTCCCTTGGCCTTGATGCAGGTAAAAATTCTTTTAAAAAAATTAACAAGTAAGGATGGGGGTGGGGAACTGGGAGAGAGCAAGGGAAGGGATGGCATTGTCCAAAAATGTATTCTTCACCTGCCTTACGTAACTGTAGCCCCTCTGTACATCACTTTTATAATAACAATAAAAATTTTAAAATATTAGCTCACTTTAGTATAAGGAGCCTTCAATGTAATAATTCAGAAACTGGGGAAAATTCTTTTTTTCTTTTTTTGGGTCCTTTGGGTCCGGTCATGGGGCCTGAACTCTGAGCCTGGGCACTGTCCCTCAGCTCTTCAGCTCAAGGCTAGCACTCTACCACTTGAGCCACAGCGCCACTTCCGGCTTTTTTCTTTTTGCTTATGTGGTGCTGAGGAATTGAACCCAGGACCTCATGCATGCAAAGCAAGCACTCTACCACTGAGCCACCTTCCCAGCCCCTGGAGAAAATTCTTGAAGAGATATACAGGCAAATGAGCTAAGGGCTGTGGTACATGGAGACATGGCTCAGATAAACCATTTTGAGTGTACGTCTAAGATAAGGTACACACACACGATTAAGAATTGGGAGTTGGAGTTCATCATAATTGATCACCAAGAGGTTACAAGTGAAAAGCCCTGAGTTCTAATTGTAATAGTGCTATGATGTATCCCAATCCCTTAAAAAACAAACAAAAACCACTTAAGGCTAAAATCAGCATATGGAAAGAAATAATACAGATCAAGGTAGATATCAGTAAAAGCAAACTAAAAGAGTAATACAAAGAATCAATGAAAGGACTGATTATTTGGAAATATAAAGTAAGACTGGCAAAGCCAGCCAAAAAGGGAAAAGATTCAAATTAATAAGAGATAAAAAGAGGAATATTACAGGGGCTGGGAAGGTGGCTCAGTGGTAGAGCTCTTGCCTTGCATGCATGAGGCCCTGGGTTCGATTCCTCAGCACCACATAAGCAAAAAAAGAAAAAAGCTGGCAGTGGTGCTGTGGCTCAAGTGGTAGAGCACTAGCCTTGAGCTGAAGAGCTGAGGGACAGCGCCCAGGCCCAGAGTTCAGGCCCCATGACCGGACCCCCCCCAAAAAGGGATATTACAATAAAACCAGTGAGATCATTGGGGGCTACTTTGATAGCTTATATTCTAATAAAGTAGAAAAATCTAGAAGAAATGGACACATTTCTAGATGCATATGACTTGTCAAATATTGAACCAGGAAGATATAAACCACCTAACCAGATCTGAAACAAGCAATAAAATTGATAATGTTTTATAGTAAATATTCAACCTGAGTGTAGGAATGGGAGAAGGAAAAGAAAAGGAGACAAAAGAAAAAAAATTCTACCAACAGAGAAAAACTGAGGCTTAGGTGGCATCATTGTTGAATTCTACCAGATGTTTAAAGAAAAACTAACACCAATGCTCCTCAAATTATTCCATAAAACAGGAAGGAAAGGAACACTACTACAAGCCAGTATTAGCCTGGTTGGTACAAAAAAAAGAATAAAGATACAACAAAAGAAAATTATTTAAAAAATTCCCTGATGATAGATGCAAAAATTCTCAATGGAATACTTGCAGACTGAATGCAACTACACATTAAAAACAGCATGTAGCATGATTACAGAGATGCAAGGTTCATTCAAAATACATAATAAGTATATAGTACATAAACAGAATAAAGGAGGATAAGTCACATGATTATCTCGATATAAAAAAGCTTTAATAAAATATTTCTTCATGATACAAGCGCTGAAGAAACTACAAGTAGAAGATATGTATCTCAATAAGGAAAGATATATGTAGTATATAGATATAGATAACCCACAGCCTACTTCATACTTTGCTCATTTTCTGAAATGGGAAAAAAAAGAAAGATGGAGAAAGGAGAAAAAAAGATGTTTTATAAATGGGTAAATGTGGAGGAATATTAGACTTTAACCTAAAGTCTCTCTCTGCTAGTAAAAAAAATACAAACTAAATTCAGGAATACTGAGGATATTCTAAATCTCAAGAAAGAGCAAGCATATTACAAGTTCTCTGTTGCTGTATTCTTCAAGTGTTTATCTTGAAAATCTTGTCAGGGTCTCTGAGTAATTGTTGATTATAACTAATCAAACCAGATTTTTTTCCCATGGGCATTTACCAAGATACCACAGCTAGTTAAGAAAAAAGACTTTTACTTTAAAAGAAGTGCTGGGGTATTTTACATAACTTTGCAGTTAAAACGGCAAGTATGTGAAGGGGCAATGGTAGTTTAAGCCTGTAATCCTAGCTACTTGGGAAGCAGGTATTGGGGAATCTTGGTTCAGGGCCAGTTCAGGCAGAAGTTCGTGAGACTCCACCTCAAGCAGTGGCTGAGTGTGACGGCTTGCACCTGTTATCCCCGCTAGGAAGGAAGCACGGTGATGTACACCTGCCATCCCCCACAAAAGGATGTGGAGGCACAGGAAGGAAGATCACAGACCAAACAGGACATTGTGACGCCACTTTGAAAAGAACAAATGTTAAAAGGGGCTGGAGGCATTGCTCAAGTGGTAGAGTACCTGCCTACTAAGTGTGAGGCCCTGAGTTCAATGCCTAGTATTACCAAAAAACAAAAAGATGAAGATATTTTCTTCCACTTTAAAGAATATCTTAAATTCAAATAGGAAAATGAAAATAATATTGGGGTAATTTAAGTGTGTGTGATGCCCCTACCCCTGTCCATTCCAACTGGCCCCACCATGGAAACATTGGGTAGTTAAGACACAAAAGCAAAAAAGGATTTCCTTTCCCGGTTATTCAGCTTTCCATCATAAAACATACCTGGAAAAAAATCTTGAAGGAGAAGTTTACTGGGGCCCGTGGTTTTAGCGATTTTATCCTGCAGCCGTTTGTCCTTCACCTTGCTGCCTGGGAGAAGTAGAGCATCATGGAGGAAGCTGCTCCCACAGGACAGTTGGGGAGGGGAAGGAGACAGGAGGGTTCTGATATCCCTTTCAATGCTATGTCTTCAGTGATCTCAATCCTAGGGTGACATTTCCCCTAGGTGACATTTGACAATGTCTAGAAACATTTTTTGGGGGGGTGTCCAGTCATGGGGCCTGAACTCTGGGCCTGGGCGCTGTCCCTCAGCTCTTCAGCTCAAGGCTAGCGCTCTACCACTTGAGCCACAGCGCCACGTCCGGCTTTTTTCTTTTTGCTTATGTGGTGCTGAGGAATTGAACCCAGGGCCTCATGCATGCAAGGCAAGCGCTCTACCACTGAGCCACCTTCCCAGCCCCTCTCTAGGAACATTTTTGATTCTCACAATCAAGTGCGAATGGGGATTTGGGAATGAATTAGGAGTGATGCCAAGAGAAGCCAGAGCCTAGGCTAGGAATGCTTCCAAACACTAGCACACACAGAACAGCCCCCCACAAGAAATTATCCAGCCTAAACTGTCAGTAATATAGACAATGAAAAACAATTTGCCTTAAATGATTTTTTTTAAATAAAACTATCAGATGCCTCTTGAGAGCCAGCTTGGATGAGGAGAATATCAGGCCCCCCTCTTGATAATAAAACCTCTCTTGGTCCCAACATCCCATCTGGTTACTGCTGTGTCCTCCTCCTTCTCACTAGAGCAAAAAGGAAAAGAATCCTTTGGGTACACCAAGATGTGTCCTTCCCTCCAGTATTAAGAAGGGAGCAATAGCAACAGGTCTGTAGGTTGATGAGGACTTGTGGAGAGAAAGAAAAGGAGGAGAATTTCTTTGTGGTAGGAAATGGCCTCTGAGGCATGATGATGATTGGACCTTCAGCTAGGAGTTACCTTTGTCTCTAGAAATGGAGAGCAAAGAGAATACAAGCACAGTCATTGCCTACATTGCTTTACATTAAAACTAGTTACACATTAGAGAGGATTGAAAACTCAATCCTCACTCCCATTGGCCCAATTGGAGTGCTCAGTAACCTCATGTGATTCTGAACAGATATGAAACATGTCCATCACCACAGAATGTTCCTTTGCACCGTGTGGTTCAATGTATGAACCTTCGCAGGAGTAAGAGGCTAAAGTTAGGTAGCAGGCAGACTCACAAGAGGTTAGGGTATTGGAAAGATCATCTAGGTGCAATATGAAAGTGCTAAGACTCCAGGTAGGCTTGATACTAGAGTAAAGTGAGGTGGATATTACAATAATCAAGGAATGATTTTAAAAGAAGACTAGAGACTAAGGGATACTTTGAAGATGAAAAGAACCAAGTTGAGTGTTTAAGGAGGAGGCTCAGAGGGGTTCTTAGTCTGTTTTTGTTTCAGTTTATTTGTTTTGTGTGTAGTTACTGTTTTTGTTTGTCGGTGGTAGGGCCTAAGCGTTGTCCCTCAGCTCTTCAGCTCAAGGCGAGCACTGTACCACTTGAGCCACAGTGCCACTTCCAGTTTTCTGTTGGTTAATTGGAGATAAGAGTCTCACGGAGTTTCCTACCCAGGCTGGCTTTGAACCACGATCCTCAGATCTCAGCCTCCTGAGTAACTAGGATTACAGGCATGAGCCACCGACACCCAGCTCTTAGTCTAATTCCCACTCTACAAAGTGAGTACTATTGTTCCAATTTTACAAAAGATAAAGCTTCAGAAAACTGGTGAGTAATAAAATCCACAGGACTTGGCCAATGAAGACTTTAGATTGTACATCCAATACTAACCACCAGTCCTGAAGGTTGAGAAAGGGAAGTCTATTGGGTATAAAGGTGGAGGGGAAGAAAAAGACTGGGCAGTTTTTTCTTTTGAATGGAAGGTGCAGGCAGGGGGTGGGGTGGGGCTACCAAGTGAAGATGATTGATTGATGGCAGATGATTGAAATACAGTAAGTAGCAGGCTTGGCTTGGGGGTCAGAGCTGGAGCGGATGAACCAAAGTCACAAGTCAGAAAAGCTTCAGCTCTGCCTATATTGAGGTCTTACTCCCCTCAAGAAAAGCAGAATTGTTTTCTAGAGGTGAGAAACAAGGAGAGATTATGAGAGAATTCCAACTCAGGAATTTGATAAAATTCCAGCTGTTGCCTTCAAACTACCCGTGTAATAACTTCTCACCACAGTCTGAAGGACACTGTCTCAATTTTCTTCCTGGCTAGGCACCTGCTGTTGAAATGTTGCTGTAACAGTGCCCTCTAGTGTTATGAAGAGGTCTCTGCAAATGGACGAGGCAGTCTGCAGAAGGAAATTCCCTTCACCTGAGTCATTGCACAGATTCTTATTGCCAGAAGCTTCCTTATTCAGTACATTTCTGTGCCTTTAGGGAGGATCACACCTGAACAAGCCCAGGTCACTTGCCTTCAAGGAAAAGGTAATGGAGCTGGAGAAGTGCCAGCATAAACAAAAAGAAGTGTACTTTTATGAGAGAATGGATTGAAGGGGGAGGAATGAATAGGAAGGACAAGAGAATCTACAGACTAGAATATTAGCACCTATAAAACACTGAAATAATTACTTGACTCATGTATACATAACCCCTGTATATCACCTCTATAATAATGAAATTAATCTAAAAGTAAACCCACTGAAACAATATAACAAGCTAATCTTGAAAGTTGGAGATCTAAGAGGTTCTGTTTTGACTTGGTGAAAAGAGGTCCTTTTAGCGTATCACCAGCTGTTACTATTGAATGCTTATGTCATGCTACCCATGCTGATAATCAACATAGGGTAAGAACGATTTATATTCTGCATTTTTTAAAATAAGAAAACCAAGATACAGCAATTAATTACCCAAGTTGACAACAGCTGAGAGGGGGCAAAACAGAGCCCAGGCCTTTGACTCCTAACTTCTAACCTCAGTGCAATAGTCTTTTCATAAATATAGCTAGGCATAGCGGTTTATGCCTGTAATCCCAACTACTCAGGAAGTAGAAGTTAAAGAGTCTGATCCAAGGCAATTAGCCAAAATTCTCTGGGGGGAAGAAAACAAAACCAAAAGCAAAAGGACTGGGGGAAATGGCGCAAATTATGCTTATAGCAAGCAGAAAGCCTTGAGTCAGTCTTCAACACTAGTGAATGAATGAATGGCTAAATGAGAATAGTAATTTAGATAAAGAATGCACATCATTAAATTGACAAAGGCTAAACAAAAAAAAACACAATATAGTCAAGAAAAGTGGCCCTCCCCATGTCTGAAATGCCTTCAGGCTGGCTTCAGTCCTTATCACAGAGAGAAAATACTAATGTTTTCTGAAGTCCTTGCTAGGTGTGAGGGTATAGGCCAGTGGTAGGCCATCAGCTCAGCCATGCAACACAGCCTGGGTTCCATTCCCAGGGCTGCAAAATAATAAAAGTAAAATTTCTCACCAGAAAAATGTCCTTTCCACCTAAAGGCAATAGAATCAAAGAAGACTATCAAGAAAATAGATCCTAGGGGATCTGATGACTCAGAAGATCAGTAAACATTTTGTAGAATGTATGTAGGATTGAAAAAAATCCATTTTGGGGGGGTCTTGGGGTAGCAATCTGCTTCTAGATGCAAGGATCTAGCAAACCAAAGTGCAACCTCCCTCTCCAGTCACCCTCAGAGCTTCCATGGTCATTAATCATACTCCAGATCTTCTCCCCCAGTTTAGGAAACACAGGCCTCTGCATCATGATACCAGGCTGCGTTCTGCACAGCTGGTGTGAACTTCCCTTCTGCATTGTTACCTTAAGGGCAATTTAGTTGGGAAATGGTAGAAAACTTACCTTCCCCTTTGTTTTCATAGGAGACACACGCCAGGAGCCGCACAACGAAACAACTCTGTCTGTGGTTCAGTGGGTGGGCCTTGGTAGGAAGAGGAGCAGAATTTGGGGCGAGCCAGAGAGCAGGAAATGAAGACCAAGGGCTTTGTCTCCTATTTGGTGTTTACATGGGGATGTGAACACAGGAAAACCACTGGTGCCGGGGCCAGGCCCTGGCCTGGTGCTTAGCAATCCTTCTGTGCCTTCTTGACGGATTAAGGAATCAAGTGAGCTGCTTAAAAAAAGAGTAGAGAGAGCCTGCTTTCATCCTGGATGTAGTAAGGGCTTACAATAGTACCAGAGCAGACAGGCAGGGACCAGGGTTCCAAATAAGAGAACACCGTTTTGGCTTGGGGTGGGGGAAGAGGAGAGAGGTGGGGAGGAGAGAGTGTGTCTCAGAAAATGGACCAATAGTAAGAAATATCAATGGTAAATGCCTGGCAGCTGTGGTGAGAAGATGAATCACAAAATGTGGCCATTTTTAAAAAGACCTAGCGTAAGTGACTCTCCCACATGTAAAACCATGGAAGTAATCCTGAGTCTCATCAAGCAGTACACAGAAAAGTGGGCCGAGGACAAGCACCCATTCATCTGCATAAACACCCTTCTACCAACGCGTCTGGGAATGCTAGGAAGTGGACAGACAGAGCAAAAAGCAGGGTAAATGGTTCAGGGTTAGATGTCAAGATCATGAACGATGGGCAACCAGACAGAGCCTACAAAGGATCAAGCAACTGTGAAGGGAGATGTGCTACTGAGTCAACAGATTCCACAGAGACGTCTACTGATTAGCTTATAAGCTCATTCTTACAAAGTACATAGCAAGAAGACAGCTGAATCAAATAGCATAAGGTGTCCGTAATCATCTCTTCAGACAGCTGTAACTTGGTGTCTTCAACAAGTGATCAGTCCCAGCTGAGATCTGGAGGTTTGGTGTTCAAAGCAAGCGGGGGCAGAAAAATCTTCAAGACTTCATCTTCAAAAAACTAGCAAAAAGCTGTGCTTCAGGCATGACTGAAGTGCAGAGCTCCAGGTAAGCAAGCCAAGTAAACATGAGCCCCTAAGTTCAAATCCCAGTACCACAAAAAATAAAAATCTTTTTTTGAAGCTGAAAATATAGCTCAGTAGTACGGTACTTCTGCATCTCTCATGCCCACAAAAGCAAACTTGGCCTTTATTCCCTGTAGTACAGTGGTTTCCAAATATGGGATCATCAAAGAGGAGAACTTTTTCCAGGCTAAGAAGTCTCTGCCATAAACTCCACGTATTCCCAGCCCTGGAGCTGCCCACCTTCAGCTAGGAGTCCTTGAGAGCCCCACCCCCAGACTCAGCAGAGCCTGCTGAGCAGGAAGAGTGTACCAGAGACAGCCATCAGCAAAACTTGCTTACCTTTCCACAGAGAATATGGCCAATCAAGAGAAAAGTTTGGATGCTTTCTTCTTATTCCTCGTGTGAGGGCTCAAATCTCAGTATCCCATGGATTAAACACATGTTCTACCACTAAACTGTCTCTAGTCCCTGCTCCCAGTTTGCTTTACCAATCTCTGAGAAGCTAAGTTTAATAATGAAAGTATAACATGGGAATAAATATGCTTTATTTTATATAACTATAAACCAATAAATGTGTATCTAGCAGTGATATACAATGTAATATTTAAAAAATTATATAGTAACTCTCCTAAACTACATATATATATATATATTTATAAAATATATTTCACCTGTATTTGTTGTAAGACTATCAGCTATCATTCTTTTTCTTTCCTTGGGGCAGAGGTGTGAGGGAGTCTTGATAAGGTGCTTAGGCTGGCCTTGAACTCATAATTCATCCTAGGGGTAAAGGCATGTATCATATGCCAGCCCAGCGGTTCTTTATGTCATGTTCTTATACCTGTGGATGGTAATTTTTTTTCTTACGTGAAAGAACAGTAAAAAATAAATTCTTTCCTGGCAAAATATAAGGAGAGTAACTTTTGGTTGGCTCTATGCTTTCTAAAAACTTCTACTGAATGTATTTTATACTTCAGCGGTTTATTTTTCTATTGCTAGGGAGTACAGGATGATTACAAGAATAAATCTCAGAATATTGGATGTAGCTCACCATAGGAAAAGCTACACTTCAAAGTCAAGCTTGGAGGGCATATTGGTGAAAATCCAATTGTTTTGTTTTCCTTGGAAGTAACAAGGTTTGCATTTAAGAGAAGGCATACAACAGATTTCCCTTATACAATAAGCTCCTGCAGTGCATGTATGATAGTATTCCATTTTACATCTAAATCCAAGATTTCAAGAGTACAGACACTTTTCAGATCAGGTTACACCTCTTCTATTTTTGCCTGCGGCAGCCCACTGCCTCTGCACCAGCACTTAGAGCAGGCAGGTAGGGAAGCTGCAGCTGGCACCAAACAGCTGCACAGGTGGAGGCTGTACCCAGATTGCATATGGTTGCTCGGCCTAGAACATTGGGTTTTTCCCCCTCTTCTTTTCAGTTGACCACCATTCTCTACATCTAGAAGCAAAAGCAGACTGACTAGGAGATTATTGAAATCATGTTCAAGTGTCTAGAGACCTCAGTCTTCCTTCAGGTAGCAGCTTCTCCTCCTCCTGTTTAACGCAGCTGAGGATCTACTCTGTGCCACAGGTTGTCAAGGGAAAGGCTTGCAGTTGAACTGTCTTCCTAGCCTCCTTGGTGTTTTTGTTTTTGTTTTTTTTTTTTGTACGGTTGCTTCTGGGTTTCCTTCCCCAGATGCTTCTGATGCCTCAATACAAATCATGTGTCAGCTGCTAATACTGGAAAAGCACTTAAAGCAAAATGTATCTTTCATCTTTCAGAATATGTCATGTTTCAGACACCAAGGTCATACTGGCAATGTAGCTCAGTGGTAGAGTATTGCTTAGTATATGTGAGTTCACAATATGGAAAGAAAGAGGGGGATCTTTTGGTTGCATCTCTACATTTCAAATTGAGTAACTTGTCTTATTCTAAGACAAGTGCATAATATGGCTGACTTACTTTGTAGTTGGCTCTCAAGGGCTAGTTAACCATAATTAACTTATGTGAATGCAGGCATATGCATTACTCTCCCTGATTCCAGATAAAATCTAACACCAGGGAGACACCTCATTCAGTTCAATGCATCTGAACTGCATGGATCCTGCCTTTCAGAGTAGTGCTGGCATTGGAACAAAGGTGGAGAGAGAAAATGAGAAAACACCTGTTGGGTTTTTCTTGGTCTTTCTTGTGCTAAAGCAATTCATACATAAAATGCATTGCGTCCTTGAAAATGGCTCTCACCTTCTGCCCTCCTCCCATCATGTCTGGGTCTAATATATCATAGCGAGAGCCTGACACCCACATCCATTTGGACTGAGCTGCCTAGTAAATTAACTTATGCTAAGTGGCTGTCTGCCTGTGACTGTCAGCGCTACCATCCTTGTCCGTCTCCTTTTCCTGTTGCCAGACATTTCATTTCACCGTGGATGACATTTCATTTCATTCTCAATGCCATTTCATCTCCTTGCAATGTATGAAATTTTTCAGTGAGCAGGATTCTTACTGACCCTTCTGAAACTGACAGGGATATTTGTGTGTTCCAAGCAAGTTCAATAACACAGTTCTGCTTGGCTTCCCTTCCAGTCTCTTCCCAGCGAGTTACACTTCAAAGGCTGAATTCTTAAAAAGGAAATATCTACTTGTTCTACCTATATGCATCTCCACACTAAGCCTAAACTGATTATAGACACCCACTATCGGAGATAGTCACAGAGAGGTCTTTAAGGTAATCAGAAATCAGCGGCATTTTCTTAAGCTCTACTTGAGCCATGCCTCAAACCTTTTTTGGTTGTTACTTCTCAGGTAGATCCTCAGGCCTCAATACTTCTACCTAAGCCTCCTGAGTAGCTGGGATTACAAAAAGGGATAAAGGCCCCGGAGTAGAGCACCTATATGGAAGGCTTCTCTAAATAAAGTTTCAAATTCTGTTTCTTCAGGCCAGATACAAAATCATTTTTGCTTTCCAACTATTTGAAGTCCTAATAGCCAGTGTATCTGTTCAGTGCTGAGGAAACAAAGCTGAAAAGGTTTGGTGTGGCCTAGTTTCTTCCAGAGCTGGTTAAGGAGCTGGACAAGAACGCTGTTAATAATAAGGGGTGGGAAGAATAATGCTGTGAGCATGTGAAGCCATCCCTTACTTGGGCTTGGGGATTGGAAGAGCTCTGCAGAGGAATCCATAGTTGAGACTACAAAGGTGAATAGAACTTAGAGAGAAATGGTGAGAGAGGACTGCGTCAACCTTACCCTATTGAGTAACCATCTGTACTCATCATTCTCAGTGAACCGTACATTCACGTTTCATGCTTTTCTGAACTTGGGATACAGTTTCTGGCCCTCCAGCCCAGTCCCTACAGCTCAGGTTTGTGCATGTCAACTCCCGTCATAGATCGGCCGTGCTCAGGAGGAAAAAAATGCCCAACTCTGTGGTAGAAAAATAATAACCAAAATGACAATAACATCTGTTATCAATTCCCAAAGCACTGGTAAACAGTTTATTTGATTCTTGCCATTTGTGAGATCTTTCTATTCTCATAAAAGATAGCAGGCAAGGAAATGGAGGCTCAGATGAGCAGCTCTGACCATCTCCCAACTTTTAAGTAGCAAATTAAGACTCAAACTGAGATCTAAGAGGGGTATTTGTAAAATGCTTTAAACTGTGCTTAGCACAGAGTAACTGATAAGGAGATTGGTTGATTAATCAAAATATTATTAAAATAACCATTTTTCTTCTATAAACGGACCTTTCCCCTCAGCCTCACTGGTTTCCTTGTGTTCTGTGGGGCAGCAGAGTTGTGTGGGGACTTCCTGGGAACCACACATCCACTCTGGCTCCACCTCTTACACCCCCCACCTCCCCCCCCCCCGC